CATTATGCTATATAATACACTTTCGACTCCTAAATATTCAAAATTTCATGGCTATATTACCAATTTTGGAATAGGGAGTTAAGTTCAAAAGATACATCATAAGGAAAGAAACACATGGAAATAGCTTTACAGTTAACTTCTGGAGAACCAGTAAAACATACAAAATGTTAAATCCATCAGGGAAATTTGGAGGAAATCATCCCTATAATAGGTTTTCACACATGATTTAAATGTATTTCTATGAAGCTGAAAGAGTTCCATGTCTTCGTGACTTTTGGTTTTCGGTACTTCCAACTCTCTGATCAGTGCAGTGATCTCCCTAGCATTAAAGCAAGCGGACGCAGCACCCACCTGAGATTTTAAAATCAGGCTTGCACCCACCTGAAAAGCCATTTGCACCCATTCAAAAATGAGAAAATAATGAAAAATGGGCATATTTTGACCAATTTTTGCCCGAAGTGTGAAACTGAGAATTTTCCACCCAGTTCCATCCAAATCCTGCAAAGAACACTGCAGTGGAAGATATATCAAAATTACCTGCATTACTTTACCTTACTTTTAGACACCTTTCCTTAAGCATCTCAAAAACCTCCGTTTATGTAAGAATTCTTTACGTCATAAAATATGAGGGGTCATAAATCATATATTTATATATAGTAAATGATACTCTCTAAAAAAATCATTGCTCTCGCTATGATTTTAGATTGTCGCACAGCACCACAGTTTATTTAGGACTAAATACACAACAATAGCAAGTAAAAAGGATTAATTATTAAAATTAATATGACTGAACAGTCATACATACTAATGTAATTTCCACCATACCCTAAATATTTCCTGGTAAGAGCCCTGAAAATGTTTCTAAATGGTGCAAGGAATATGAATTAAAGTACTGAAGAAAATTCCAAAAGCTTAATTCTAACAACGCCCCTTCCTGCCAAAAACATGTGTACTTATTACTCCTGCTAGGAAGCTGTCTATTTAACCTTTTGATAGACACATAGAGTTGTGTTAAATATGTGAGAGTATCCAGTGGCCAAGTAAACACCATCAAAGTTAGAAAGCTCAAAGCACTGGAGAGTTCACCTGTAGATAAACTAATACGGTGAATTTAATAGGGTAATAAAAAATCTGTATATAGTGAACACCTCTGGAGCCACAAATATGTGTCCAATATATGTAGGTGTTCATTATAGAGAGGTGGTTTTACAGTGGAGTATGTGCTGAGAAGAGGTGTTCACTAGACACAGGTGTTCACTGGAGAGAGGTGTTCACTAAGACAGGTTTCATACAGTAATATGGGTGGATACAATGAAATATGTAAGGGATAAAGAAAAAAATAGGTCCTAAATATTTGAACATTCTATCTTCAAGCAATTCTTAAATTGGCAGAAAGAAGGTTTTGTTACATAGCACAAAAAGTTCAAACTAAACCTGCTTCAGATCATATGCTATGTAGGACTAGAATTACTCTATAAAGTTACCATCAGAATTTCTTAAGACAACTTCTGAGGTATTAGCATCAGCTTCTCTTTGAAAAACTTGAGCAAAAGTAACCTACCAAACTGATGAGAGACGATTGATATAGACTTCAAATAGAGCCTTCATCAACGTTTACTATGTTTAACTACAGACTCAGCGCATCATGACCTGTCATTGTCTTATATTGAAAACTATTGATTCTGGGCCATCATTATTTTTTTTGTATTTCCATATAACAAGAGTAACATATGGGAATGACTCTATAACAGCCATAATTCAAGTAAAGTCACTACAATCCATCAACTTACGGTTCTATTAAAAACTTTATATAGAACCAGACTAGTGATAGTAAGGTGTTCCACATGTTCACTTTATATAGAAAGGTGTTCCACATGTTAATTTCATATTGAAACATGTTCAATTTATATTAAAGGTGTTCCACATGTTTCAATTTATATTGAAAGGTGTTCCACATGTTCAATTTATATTGAATACATGTTCATTCTATATTGAAAGGTGTTCTACATGTTCAATTTATATTAAAGGTGTTCCACATGTTCAATTTATATTGAATACATGTTCATTCTATATTGAAATGTGTTCCACATGTTCAAATTATATTAAAGGTGTTCCACATGTTCAATTTATATTGAAAGGCATTCCACATGTTCAATTTATATTGAATAAATGTTCATTCTATATTGAAAGGTGTTCCACATGTTCAATTTATATTAAAGTTGTTCTTCATGTTCAATTTATATTGAATACATGTTCATTCTATATTGAAAGGTGTTCTACATGTTCAATTTGTATTGAAAGAGGTTGCACATGTCCATTTTATATTGAAAGGTGTTCCACATGTTCAATTTATATTGAAATATGTTCCACATGTTCAATTTGTATTGAATACATGTTTATTTTATATTGAAAGGTGTTCCACATGTTCAAGTTATATTGAAAGGTGTTCCACATGTTCAATTTGTATTGAAAGGTGTTCTACATGTTCAATTTATATTGAAAGATGTTCTACATGTTCATTTTATATTGAAAGATGTTCCACATGTTCATTTTATATTGAAAGGTGTTCCACATGTTCATTTTATATTGACATATGTTCCATATGTTCATTCTATATTGAAAGATGTTCTACATGTTCAGTTTATATTGAAAGATGTTCCACATGTTCATTTTATATTAAAAGGTGTTCCACATGTTCCTTTTATATTGAAAGATGTTCCACATGTTCATTTTATATTGAAAGGTGTTCCACATATTAATTTTATATTGAAAGATGTTCCACATGCTGTTTTATATTGAAAGGCATTCCACATGTTCAATTTATATTGAAAGGTGTTCCACATGTTCAATTTATATTGAAAGGTGTTCCACATGTTCAATTTATATTGAAAGATGTTCCACATGCTATTTTATATTGAAAGGTGTTCCACATGTTCATTTTATATTGAAAGATGTTCCACATGTTCAATTTATATTGAAAGGTGTTCTACATGCTATTTTATATTGAAAGACATTCCACATGTTCAATTTATATTGAAAGGTGTTCCACATGTTCAATTTATATTGAAAGCTGTTCCACATATTCATTTTATATTGAAAGATGTTCCACATGTTCAATTTATATTGAAAGGTGTTCTACATGCTATTTTATATTGAAAGGAATTCCACATGTTCATTTTATATTGAAAGGTGTTCCACATGTTCAATTTATATTGAAAGGTGTTCCACATGCTATTTTATATTGAAAGGCATTCCACATGTTCAATTTATATTGAAAGCTGTTCCACATATTCATTTTATATTGAAAGATGTTCCACATGTTCAATTTATATTGAAAGGTGTTCTACATGCTATTTTATATTGAAAGGAATTCCACATGTTCAATTTATATTGAAAGGTGTTCCGAGCCTTCAACACAATATGACAAAACATTTTCAGTGTGACGACAATGTCTCTTAATATCCCCTTCTATTACATACTATACTATCAAACTGATTTGTTAATTGTGTTTTGTTCGTGTTAACCTAATTAGAAAGATGCGCTACTTTTCTATTTCTATTCAACTGTGAAGGCGTATAATGTCAAACTTGCGTCCTCAGGGAAAAGGTTCATTAATTGTGCTAGTAAGTGACCACATCCAGATTTGTTAAAATTTTGATTTTTTAGAGTTTGACCCAAAGTAAAGACATATGCGAATGTAGGTCAGTGGTGATCCTTATAATGTTTAAGTCTTGTCTATTGAAAATACATATTTGCCCTGAGAGAATTTCTATCAATATAACGAAATTGATCTTGACATTTTGTTAAGCAAACAGTAAGTTCTAATAATATCTAATTTGACATTGTTCATTGTTCATCTATATTTTCTGACATATCATACGACAATAATTATAGCCATAATACACTAGACGTAATATCGAGTTATAATATATCCCTAAACTGATTTGTACAAATTGACGTAACAAGACACAAAGTGATATATATCACACTTTACCCAGCATGCAGAAAACCTAAGCTTATGTTGGCATCAACTCCCATATGTATAAAATTCAAGTTGAATGGATAAGCGTCGTTTCGTGGTATTTTGATAATAAAATGTATGTGGTGCCTATATGCCTGCCTATATGCCCGCCTATATGCCTGCCTATATACCCAGTAGCACAAGACAATGATAATATAGCACTTAAGTAACAAAAAGGAAACCCTTGAATTTTTCTCGTACAAGTGACACTAATTATACAAGAAAATAAGATTCAATCTTTCATCATTGAGAAAGTTTTCAAAATTAGAATGTTACATATTTGTGTCACCCAACAAACAAGATTCTTCAAGAAAATAATATGAATTAAGGCCATTGCTTGGTTTTGTTTGGTTGCTCCGGGCAACTTGCGAGACTCCATCCCCTTACCCAATCAGAGGTTTCAATTTTGAGTGACATTGTATAATCAATCTAGAATTAGACATCTCGATAATAACGCTGGAACTCAAATATTCATATTACATTTTTAGGTCATTTTGAACTAAGTACTACATGTAAGTACTACTAATTCAAGTACTATGTAATACTCATAAATGATAAATTTTATGATTTATTTTCAGATAGATGAATTAATTTGACAGGAGCTTAGAGTGATTGATATCACGTCGGATCAAATAGGTGATTGACATCACTCTGGTACTGGAAAATCACAATAGAAGTGATTGATGTCATACTTGAGTGACATCACAATAGAAGTGATTGATGTCATACTGGAGTGATTGACAACATATGGTAATGAATGACATCACAATAGAAGTGATTGATGTCATACTGGAGTGATTGACATCATACTGTAATGAATGACACCACAATGCATTGATTTGTAATTGGCACTAAAATGGAATGAATAACATCACAAATCACACCAAAATGACTGAAAGCACACTAAGGTGATTCACACCACACTGAAGTGATTGCCATAATACTTTATTAACTGATGATGTCACAATAGAAGTGATTGATGTCAAACTGAAGTGATTAACATCATAAAAAGGTGATTGACACCATGCTGAAGTGATTGGCATAATACATTATTGACTGACTACCCCATATAAATGAGTAATATCACATTAGAGTGGTTAGCTTAATGAAGTGATTCTTGAGACCATTTCTTTAATATGACCCTTCAATCAACCTAAAGTACAATGTACAAACACTAGACAGCTAGTCAAATGAGCCAACTTAGAACAAGGCATTTCTCCACCTAATGAAGGCTTTTACAAGACGAGCTAGAAAGCTAGAGCAAACAGTCTCATTTATCCATATATTTACGACAGGTGTTTAAATGGTTTATGGAGCTCATTAATGTTAACATATTATCGCAAACTGAAGATTGAGGAAAAAGCGATTTGTCAAGCTGGCTGTGAATAACAGTGTAAAGTAAACTTAATACAACAAAGAGTATGGGGATTATGCAAAAATGAACAACCGCACCAATCTATCATAACACGTATGGATTAAATGTTAGATGCGGCAGTAATCATTTGTTGGCAATATCTATGCTGAATACCGCAAAAGAGACACTTTAATGGATAGCGGGGGATGAAGTGAAAAGCTCTTGGAGGATTAACAATGTAACGTTAAGTATACATGATATATCGTCACAAATTAACGTTCATAATATACCTGTACATTAACATTCAAGGACAACTCATTGGGAAATTACTGAAATAACTTCATTGAAGGTACAATTGAAAAACTGCATGGAGTTAAAAATTCCTGAACTTAGCGAAAGAAACAAAAGAAAAAACAATCGAAATGGCTATTAATCAATCGGAGAATAAAATTAAGATATTTGCATCTTTAGGCCAATAAAAAAAATTAAGATGGGAGATACGCTGCATGTAAAACCTGTCAATGGGAATAATCAAAGCCTACCATGGAATAACATTACAACTGGTGGAAAAGATGAAATCATGGCAGCCAATCCGATATATAAAATTGAAGACATCCAAAGAAACTCCACATTGGTGTCCAATGAGACGAGTGCCATGGAAACAGTGGCTGAAAACAACTGGGCATACCTAATATGCATCGTCATAGTAATAGCAGCCATCACAGGTAACCTGTTGGTTGTCTTGGCAGTGAGGCATGAAAGGAAACTTCAGACAATGTTTAACTATTTTCTTGTTTCCCTGGCGATCAGTGACCTAACAACAGCTATAGCAGTCATGCCTATAGCCATACTAAAAGATTTCTTAGGTATGTATAATTTAAATCATATTTCATCCAAGATCATTGAAAATGGGAAATTATCTTTTACATGTATAACTTATTTGGAATATAACCAATTTCCTCATATCCAAGACCACTCATTGCAACATTTTTTTCAAATATCATGATGATCAATGACATTTCCTCTCAAGAGTATCGGAATGGATATACAATAGCTAGTTATTAAAGAGCTTTCTCAAACCTATGGTACTGTGTTTCCCAATTAAGGGAACAACCCAAATGGTGCATGATTCTGATCCAAAAGTTTGGATGCAAAATAAAATATCTAAATATGTCATCAATTGTCAAAATGGATATTTTACTTAAGCTAAGTTTCAACCTATCATTTTTTGTTACATTTTCATAATACAGGCATCTTAAAATATCAAATATTGATTTATACATGTCCATAAAACAGGCAGCTAAAATATTAAATATCGATTATTGTATACATAATTAATACAAAGGAAATACTTGTATAATGTTATTAAGTGTTTAAAACATCAAAAATGATTGAGATTACATGAAAGAAAAGAAATAAAGATAGAGATATTTCAATAATTTTTATGTTAAGGATGTTAATTTTGAAAGGCCTAGTTTTATGAGGCCTAGTGAAACAGATCTAGATGCAAACCTCCAATAATCCGAACAAATATGAGAGTTCAATGAACCCAATATAACAGATAGGAAGCACATGGTATGTCATGAATGGTCTAGTTTTGAAAGGAAAATATGAGTTTGAAAGAGGAATTAAAAGAAATAAAGAAAACAAGCATGAAGATAATTCTCAAAAGTCTAAAATATAAAGCAGTTAATCCAAATTTGAAGAAAAATGGATTGAAATATGCACATCCAATTGGGAATTTCAAGAGGGGACAAGCAAGCTCAATTGTATGATTTAATTAAGCTTTCTGTCCTGACTAAGATCTGATTGGGAATATGTGTGGATTAAGTGAAATTTGTTTTTCTCTCTGAGATTCCCTTAGATCAACAAACGCATTGAGTAAAGTGCTGTTCCCATGGGGCAAAATATTGAATTCATATTTGCGTTCAAATCAAGAGTACTTTGAGTTTTCCCTTGGCTTGGCTGACCCGACTAATCCATACTTGGACTATGTCGGTTTCTAGGATAATATTTCTGAAGATAGCATTCAGTCTAATTCATTTATATCTTTGCAATTATCCAATGAAACATCATAATAATATCAATCAATCAATAAACACATTGATTAATTTATATCTCACACAATCAGCTAAAAGATGAGAAATGTTGACGAATGTTTGATTTTTAAGAGATAACTGTTACAATCTCTTTATTTTCTTGAATACCATATGGAATTTTAGGATTTGTAGAAAATAGGCAAGAGAAGGAAAAACATGAGACAAACAAACATCGAATAAGACAAACAAACATCGAATAAATTAATTTTGGATGAAATAGCATTTAATGGGATTTTGAACCAATCCTTCTTGGAGTTGGATGGTTGGATGTGTTCCCTGATGCTAAAGGCAAAATACCATGCCAAGACCCCAAATTTTATTTTCAATTTCATGATGTGATGGTCACATACTAATTACTTAAGAACTAAATAATGAACTAAGAATATGATAGAATAGAATTCTTAAAGAGCTATCTGTGTCTGATGAAACCTGTGATATCATCAAGCCATATATCTAATATCTCATTTGAAGGGAAACTATATTTTCTAAGATTAGTTCCTAGGTTCATTTGTCCCCAGTTTTCCTTAAGAGTCAATGCTCTGAAATTGGAAATAAACACTTAACTAATCAAAACAGATGAACACTTATTTAATCAATATGAATGAACACTTATCTGATTTAAACAGATGAATACTTATCTAATAATCACACTTATCCAATCAATACATATCTGGGGGCAATGTTTACCATTTACAGTGCTTAACAGCATTCATCAATAGTATAATACCATTATACTGGTCATATATTGTCCTGTGAAATACCTATCCAAGTATAGATTGCCTGACATGTGCCGTTATCTCTTTCATTATAGGATTTACGGGACTTGCTCATTTTATATAGGCTCAAATGAAACAATACCCTAATGTTCTAGCCTAGTGCATTAGATAGAGCTCTTTTATATAGGCTCAAATGAAACAATACCCATATGTTCTAGCCTAGTGCATTAGATAGAGCTCTTTTATATAGGCTCAAATGAAACAATACTCTAATGTTCTAGCCTAGTGCATTAGATAGAGCTCTTTTATATAGGCTCAAATGAAACAATACTCTAATGTCCTAGCCTAGTGCATTAGATAGAGCTCTTTTATATAGGCTCAAATGAAACAATACCCTAATGTTCTAGCCTAGTACATTAGATAGAGCTCTTTTATATAGGCTCAAATGAAACAATACCCTAATGTTCTAGCCTAGTGCATTAGGTAGAGCTCTTTTATATAGGCTCAAATGAAACAATACTCTAATGTTCTAGCCTAGTGCATTAGATAGAGCTCTTTTATATAGGCTCAAATGAAACAATACCCTAATGTTCTAGCCTAGTACATTAGATAGAGCTCTTTTATATAGGCTCAAGTGAAACAATACCCTAATGTTCTAGCCTAGTGCATTAGATAGAGCTCTTTTATATAGGCTCAAATGAAACAATACTCTAATGTTCTAGCCTAGTGCATTAGATAGAGCTCTTTTATATAGGCTCAAATGAAACAATACTCTAATGTTCAAGCCTAGTGCATTAGATAGAGCTCTTTTATATAGGCTCAAATGAAACAATACTCTAATGTTCTAGCCTAGTGCATTAGATAGAGCTCTTTTATATAGGCTCAAATGAAACAATACTCTTATGTTCTAGCCTAGTACATTAGATAGAGCTCTTTTATATAGGCTCAAATGAAACAATACTCTAATGTTCTAGCCTAGTGCATTAGATAGAGCTCTTTTATATAGGCTCAAATGAAACAATACTCTAATGTTCTAGCCTAGTGCATTAGATAGAGCTCTTTTATATAGGCTCAAATGAAACAATACTCTATGTTCAAGCCTAGTGCATAAGATCGAGCTCTTTTATATAGGCTCAAATGAAACAATACTCTAATGTTCTAGCCTAGTGCATTAGATAGAGCTATTTTATATAGGCTAAAATGAAACAATACCCTAATGTTCTAGCCTAGTGCATTATATAGAGCTCTTTTATATAGGCTCAAATGAAACAATACTCTAATATTTTAGCCTAGTGCATTAGACAGAGCTCTTTTACATAGGCTCAATGAAACAATACTCTAATCTTCTAGCCTAGTGCATGAGATAGAGCTCTTTTATATAGGTTCAAATGAAACAATACCCTAATGTTCTAGCCTAGTGCATTAGATAGAGCTCTTTTATATAGGCTCAAATGAAACAATACTCTAATGTTCTAGCCCAGTACATTAGATAGAGCTCTTTTATATAGGCTCAAATGAAACAATACTCCAATCTTCTAGCCTAGTGCATTAGATAGAGCTCTTTTATATAGGCTCAAATGAAATAATACTCTAATGTTCTAGCCTAGTGCATTAGATAGAGCTCTTTTATATAGGCTCAAATGAAACAATACCCTAATGTTCTAGCCTAGTGCATTAAATAGAGCTCTTTTATATAGATTCAAATAAAACAATACTCTAATGTTCTAGCCTAGTGCATTAGATAGAGCTCTTTTATATAGGCTCAAATGAAACAATACTCTGATGTTCTAGCCTAGTGCATAAGATAGAGCTCTTTTATATAGGCTCAAATGAAACAATACTCTAATGTTCTAGCCTAGTGCATTAGATAAAGCTCTTTAATATAGGCTCAAATGAAACAATTCTCTAATGTGATAGACTAGTGCATTAGATAGAGCTCTTTTATATTGGCTCAAATGAAACAATACCCTAATGTTCTAGCCTAGTGCATTACTCTTTTATATAGGCTCAAATGAAACAATACTCTAATGTTCTAGCCTAGTGCATTAGATAGAGCTCTTTTATATAGGCTCAAATGAAACAATACTCTAATGTTCTAGCCTAGTGCATTAGATAGAGCTCTTTTATATTGGCTCAAATGAAACAATACTCTAATGTCCTCGCCTAGTGCATTAGATAGAGGTCTCTTAGGCTCAAATGAAACAATACTCTAATGTTCTAGCCTAGTGCATTAGATAGAGCTCTTTTATATAGGCTCAAATGAAACAATACTCTAATATTCTAGCCTAGTGCATTAGATAGAGCTCTTTTATATAGGCTCAAATAAAACAATACTCTAATGTTCTAGCCTAGTGCATTAGATAGAGCTCTTTTATATAGGCTCAAATGAAACTATACCCTAATGTTCTAGCCTAGTGCATTAGATGGAACTCTTTTATATATGCTCAAATGAAACAATACCCTAATGTTCTAGCCAAGTGCATTAGATAGAGCTCTTTTATATAGGCTCAAATGAAACAATACTCTAATGTTCTAGCCTAGTGCATTAGATAGAGCTCTTTTATATAGGCTCAAATGAAACAATACTCTAATGTTCTAGCCTAGTGCATTAGATAGAGCTCTTTTATATAGGCTCAAATGAAACAATACCCTAATGTTCTAGCCTAGTGCATTAGATAGAGCTCTTTTATATAGGCTCAAATGAAACAATACTCTAATATTCTAGCCTAGTACATTAGATAGAGCTCTTTTATATAGGCTCAAATGAAACAATACCCTAATGTTCTAGCCTAGTACATTAGATAGAGCTCTTTTGTATAGGCTCAAATGAAACAATACTCTAATATTCTAGCCTTGTACATTAGATAGAGCTCTTTTATATAGGCTCAAATGAAACAATACCCTAATGTTCTAGCCTAGTACATTAGATAGAGCTCTTTTATATAGGCTCAAATGAAACAATACCCTAATGTTCTAGCCTAGTGCATCACCCTACTATCACACCAAACTAGTTCTCACTACATTCTGGAAAACGGGCTTAAACTGTGCACT